GCTCAGAGAAATGGGGCTGGCACTCAGGAATGGGGCTGGCACTCACAGGAATGGGGCTGGCTCTCAATAATGTGGCTGGCACTCACAGGAATGGGACTGGCACTCAGAAATGGGGCTGATCAATGATCATTTTACCCCGATCAGACCAGTCCCTGTGCCTTGCTCCTGCCCCAGCTGCCAGGCTGTGTGCGGTGTTTGTACGTGGCAGTGCCTCTGTGGCTCTGCAGTGCCAGTTCTCCGCGTGGCACCGTTGTGAGCTGCCCCAATTTGCCGTACCCCGTTACGTAAGGCACGCCGCCCCACTCGCGGCTGCCTCAAACCCGCTCCCAGTGACCACTGGAGCTGAAAATTGGATTTTCACAAGTGTTTGCACTCGTCCAACACCACCACTCAAACACTCGTTGGAAGCAAGGCGGCACGGGTGGTGAATATTGTGCATATTGTGAATAATGTGAATATTGTGAATATTGACAGACCCAAGGACTCAGAACCTTTCAGGAATATCAGGGTTCGATACTCTTCTGCTGAAATAAACCCCAAAAATTCAGGCACAGATGCTTCCCACCCAGACCAAGGTCACTGGTGAGAGGTGAAGGCCTCCCAGAAGCTGGAGGAAGTTCTTGTTTTCCTTTTCCTCCRGATTGTTTGCCACATGGTTTGAACAGCATGTGCTTCCAACGCCACTCAAGTTTGGATACAAAGATCCCACTTAAGTTGGGATTAAAGATGCCTTGAGCTTCCTCCAGGCATTGCAGATGCTAAAACACCACAGAAAAGCTGAGACAACCCAATTCCAGCCTCAAAACAGAATTTATGATATTATTGCAGTGGGAGAGTGTCTGTCCAAGACATGACAGAAATTTGAAAAGCTTTATCTATAAACAACCACACAAAGAGCTGTTCCCAATTTCTGGCCTGCAGCTCGTGCCCACCCTCTGCAGCTGAAATCCTGCAGGGTTTGCAATCCTGGGCCTGAGTGATCCCCTGGGATGGGATGGGATGGGATGGGATGGGATGGGATGGGATGGGATGNGATGGGATGGGATGGGATGGGATGGGATGGGATGGGATGGGATGGGATGGGATGGGATGGGATGGTCTGTGCTATCCTGGGCTGGTCAGAAGAGGAGCTGGCAGCAGTGCCCAGCTGTGCCCAGAGTCTTTGGGTGTCCTTGTGGTGCCATGGCTTCCAGTCCCTCATCCTGTAGGGACAGTAATATTCACAGAGGGGGATGCTTGTAGGGGACACTAAAGCTCACAAAGGGGATGTTTGTAGGGACAGTAATGCTCCCAGCGGGGAATGTTTGTAGGGGACACTAAAGCTCACAAAGGGGATGTTTGTAGGGACAGTAATGGTCACAGAGGGGATGTTTGGGCCTCATAAGGGGATGTTTGTAGGGGACACTAAAGGTCACAAAGGGGGTTTGTAGGGACAGTAATGCTCCCAGAGGGGGATGTTTGTAGGGACAGTAATGCTCCCAGAGGGGGATGTTTGTAGGGGACACTAAAGCTCACAAAGGGGGTGTTTGGGGGCTGCTCCCCTGGGGACAATCCTGGAATGACTGACCCCAAATGCGGGTAACTCACCCAGTGTGTGCTCAGCACCCCATTGACACCATAACCAGGTAAAGCTCAGGGAATGTGGGGGAGTGACCCCAAAACTGCACAGGGGAGAGGAGTGGGGTGGGCTGGTCATGGGGGATAAATACAGCTACCGAGATGGGTATTGATASTGATACTGGTATTGATAATGATATGGGTATTGATACTGATTCTGGTATTGATAGTGGTATGGCTATTGATAATGATATGGGTATTGATACTGATATGGGTACAGAGATGGGTATTGATACTGATACAGGTGTTGACACTGATATGGATATTGATACTCATGCAGGTATTGATACTGATACAGGTATTGGTACTGATGGAAGTATTGATACTGATACTGGTATTGATACTGATACAGATACAGAGATGGGTATTGATACTGATACTAGTATTGATACTGATACAGGTATTGACACTGATACAGGTATTGATACTGATACTAGTATTGATACTGATACAGGTATTGACACTGATACAGGTATTGATACTGATATGGGTATTGATACTGATACGGGTACAGAAATGGGTATTGATACTGATACATTACAGATGTTGATTCAGATACAGATACTGATACTGGTAAAAGTACATATGCTTATACTGATACAGATCCAGATACAAATGGATATGGATACAGATATTGGTACAGATGCAGATATTGATACAGATATAGATATGGATATWGATACAGATACTGATACAGGTGCAGATACAGGTAAAGATACTGATATTGATAAAGATACAGATACAGATAATGATACAGTTCTCTTTGAGGCTGCTGAGCCAGGGCATGCAAGGACAAAAGTCCCGTGGCCCAGGTGTGCTGTGGCAGAGCAGGTGTGATTCGGCACAAAGTTTCATTGCAAATTCCCACTGGGCTCTGCCCAGCCCCTGGCAGGGCTGGAATTTCTTATCCTGGTCCTGAGGGGAAACAYAGGTGCTCCTGTGCGGTGTCCTCTCTCCTGACCTGAATAACTCACAGATGTCACTGTCCGTGAGGAATCACATTTCAATGACACTCTGCCGTTCCTCTGGCTGGAAATCCTCTCCCATCATCTCCAATGTGGAGATCTGGGTTTATTCAGCAGAGAGAACAAGGCCTTTGGAGGTTTTTTGTCTCTCCCAAGGTGGCTCAGGTGAACCACACCTGGAAGTGCTCCCTMGCACAGGGGGGACCTCAGGCTTCAGCAGGAGCTGAGCACCCAAATTCTTTGTTCTTTAGGATTGAGGCCCTGACTCAGAGTGTTCTGTGTTCAGCCTGAGGAGAGCTGTCAGTAACTCACCAGCCACGGGGAATGTAAATTACTGCRGTTAAATCAGGGGGAGCTGGCAGCCCTGCCCAACTGGATGTGCCATTCCTCCTGTGACTCCAGGGGAAAARCAGCCCCGGACAGCCTGGGAGCGGGAGCAGGGCTGAGGAGAGCTCGGGGGCCCTGGCCCTGATGCTGACCTTGCTCCCTGCTGTCTGCATGGAGATAAAACACCTGCTGAGGGAAYGTTTCACCACTCCAGCACCTTTAGAAAGGATTCTCAGCCCTCTTTTTAATCACCTGAAGGAACCTGCTCACCAGTGACACCTCTCCTCTTGGGAGCCTTTCCTTGCCTTGAGGGCACTCCAGGAGCTGTCTGCAGCCAGCCACACTTCAGAGCACCAGCTGGCAGTGCCAGAGTGTCCCAGAGTGTGTCCTGTCACAGCTGCCAGCTCCAGAGGGCTCTGGGGAGGGAGTGCAGGAGCCTTGGCACCTCTTGGCTTCAGTCTGCAGAGCTGAGTGAGAGCCAGGAGTGCCCRAGGCAGTGCAGGGTGTCCCAGCACTCGGTGTATTCCATATTTCCATCCTGCACAGGGTATCCCAGGATTGGGTATGGCCCAGCTCAGTGTTTTCCATAGTTCCATATTTCCCTCCTGCACAGGGTGTCCCAGCATTTGGAATGGCCCAGCTCAGTGTATTCCATATTTCTGTATTTCCATCCTGCACAGGGTGTCCCAGCATTTGGAATGGCCCAGCTCAGTGTATTCCATATTTCCATATTTCCATTCTGTCCAGCCCTGTGTATTCGGTATTTCCATTCTGCACAGGTTGTCCCAGCCTGCCCAACTCGGTGTATTCCATATTTTCCTATTTTCACTTTGCACAGGGTGTGCCAGCTTCGGGAATGGCCCAGCTCAGTGTATTCCATATTTCCATATTTCCATCTTGCCCAACCCCGTGTATTCCATATTTTCCTATTTTCACTTTGCATAGGGTGTCCCAGCCTCAGGAATGGCCCAATCCCTCCATGGACAGTCCCAGCCTGTCCAGCCCTGTGTATTCCATATTTCCATCCTGCCCATCCCTGTGTATTCCATATTTTCATATTTCCACTCTGCCCAGCTCTGTGGGAAGAGTGGGAAGGRAAAGCCTCATTTTTCGGGAGCAGAGCTGTGCTGGGATTCCTCAGCTGACAATGTTCAGCAGGTGTGTGACCAGCAGAGCCTGGCTGTGCCCTGCTCCCCACAGAACCTCATGTTTTGGGAATYGTTTGGTTTTTGGAAGAGGGGAAGCCATCAGGGGCAGGCCTGAGCCCCACGGGGAGAGAAGAGAGGGAATTGTCCATCCTGAATGTGCCCCCAGGGTTTGTGGAATCCAGCAGGGAAGGGCAGGACGCAGTGGGAGCTGCCCTGGGAGCTGCTGGAGCTCACACCTCCATGGATTCACACCGCCAGGCTCTCGGGAGGTCACTCTGAGTGTCCAGAGCAGCTCTGGGAGGTGTTCTGAGGGTGCACTCAGGGTTTGGGAGCTGTTCTGAGGATGCTCTCAGGATGGGTCTGCCCAACTTTGTTGAGCTTTTCCCAAGAGGTCCTTGGTTGCCAGCAGAGCCCTTCCCACAGCAGGGAGTGCAGCTCAGTGTGGATCCGCCTGTGGTTTATCCATCCATCCATCCATCCATCCATCCATCCATCCATCCATCCATCCATCCATCCATCCATCCATCCATCCATCCATCCATCCATTCCTTACACTTTTCCAACTGGGAAATTAAGAATGACTTTGAATTCTCCATTCCAGCCCATTTCCCTGTGCACATGGACCCTCAGACCATGGTGGGAGCTGGAGCAGCTCCTCCCAGACAGGGAATTCCTGAGACAGGGAACAGCCCTGGAGAACCTGGTCAAGAATTTCTGGGATGGGGAAACAGCCCCAGCAAACCCGACCAGGATTTCCCGGGATGGGGAAACAGCCCCGAGAACCCGGCCAGGAATTCCCAGGATGGGGAAACAGCCCCGGCAAACCCAGTCAGGAATTCCCAGAACAGGGAAACAGCCCTGGTGAACCTGGCCAGGAATTCCCAGGATGGGGAAACAGCCCCGGCAAACCTGAGCAGGGAATTCCTGGGACAGGGAAGCAACCCCGGTAAACACGGCCAGGAATTGCCAGGACAGGGAGACTGGATCTCCCCTCTGGGGCTGAATTCCCGCAGGACACAGCTCAGGAGCCCCTGGCGAGCGAGGGCACGGCCCCAGTGCTGAGCTGGGATGTGCAGCCAGGAGCCAAACCAGCCTTTGAGCCCGGGATAACCTGTGAGGAGCTGCGGGAAGTGCTGAGTGCTGGGAGCAGCCACTCTGATGGCAGCCCGGGCAGAAGGCAGCCTCAGAAAACGAGAATATTTCAAATTTATGCAAATTCAGAAAGCAATTTAGTGACCTGAATTTTGAAAGTGCAGCCCAGTGGGCTCGGAGAGAATGGGAAGGAGAAAAGAACAGAAAGTCACAGCTAATTTCCCCCGCGTCTGGGCAGAATTTTAACAACAGAAAGCTAATTTTGATTGTTTGATAGAAGATTTATTGTCGAGTGCTGGCTCCTTTCATGAGAGCACAGGAACCTTTCTCCCTGCTCTTTTGTGTGCTATCTGCAGCCGAGGCAAATCTGACTTTGCAGTTCTTAATTAGGGGAGCAGCATCTGCTTGCTTCGTTTCCATAATTTTGCATTCCCCGCTCCACTTCAAAGCACCAGGAGCTCTGCTCTGAACATCTCCCAGGCCCTAAACACCCTCCTTTCCCCCCTATTTTTAGCCCATTGTTGCAGTGAGGCAGACTGGGARTTCTGAAGCCGGGGAGGGGAGTTTGGGGGGGCTGCAGATGGTTGCTGTGCTCCGGGGCAGCTCCRTGAGCTTGTGCAGAGCTTTCAGCAGTGATTTGGGGTGCCCCGGTTCTCTCAGGACCCCACACTTTGCCCAGGTCTTTGATTTCCATGGGATAAACCTCCCAGAAGGACAAACTCTGCGTGACCCCGATTGCAGAGGAGCAGGAGCCTTTCAGCCTTGTCCTGCTGCGGCTCCCCRCTGGTTGAGCTGGAGCTCAGGGCTCCCCTGGGCAAGGCTGGGAGGCAGAATCTCATCCCTGAGGGGTCAGTGGAGCCAAACCCATCAGCTGCATCCCTGCTGAGTGCCCTGCTTCCCTCCGGGGCTGCTGGGACAAGGAATCTGAGCAGGAATCAGGATGGGAGCAGTTTCATCAATGAGATGAGGAGGAGGAGGAATAACCTCAGCACCAATCTTGGCCGGGCAAAGTGAGTCCCGTTGCTCATCCCACTGCTGGTTTATGGCCATGCAGGACCTCAGCCAGCCCTGCCAGGAGGGGTTTGTCCCTGGAGGGCTTTGCTTGGGGCCTGTTCCACTCTGGAGCTGGAGGGAAGCGGCGTTTCCCCAGCATTTCCCCAGCATTTCCCCACTGTTTCCTCAGCATTTCCCCAGAATTTCCCCCACCATTTTCCCAGCATTTCCTCAGCATTTCCTCAGCATTTCCCCTGCATTTCCCCCACCATTTTCCCAGAATTTCCTCAGCATTTTTCTCAGCATTTCCCCAGCATTTCCTCAGCATTTTTCTCAGCATTTCCCCAGTATTTCTTCAGCATTTCTTCATCATTTCCTCAGCATTTCCCCACCATTTCCCCACAATTTCCCCACCATTTCCCCAGCATTTTCTCAGCATTTCCCCAGCATTTCCTCAGCATTCCTACAGCATTTCCCCRGCATTTCCTCACCATTTTCTCAGCATTTCCCCCACATTTTCTCAGCATTTCCYCAGCATTTCCTCAGCATTTCCTCAGCATTTCTCCAGCGTTTCCCCAGCATTTCCTCAGCGTTTTCTCAGCAATTCCCCAGCATTTCCCCATTTTTCCCCAGCATTTCCCCAGCAGAGCTCATATTGGCCCATGGGAACATCACGCAAATGCTGCCATTCATTACAGCAGGGAAGCCAATTAATTTTTCAGCCAACCAACTGCAATTTCAAAAAATGGTTTTGAAAAGTTCCTTTCCCCTTTCAAGGGCTGGAAGAACACTTTCAGTGATCTGCAGTGTTCTGGAGGAGAAATTTGATATTTTCCTGGCAAAACAGAAGAGACAAATGTGATCTGATGAAACAGTTAATAGAGGCGAGCTGGGCTCAGGGAATCAGGGAAGTGTAATGATTCCAAAGGGAAAGTGGAATGTTCTGGTTTAAAAACCAACAGAAAGGGTCATTCCAGGGTTTTTACTGGCATCACTTCATCAATTTGACACAAGCCTAAGGAGCTTTGGTCCAACCATTACCAGTAAATATCGAGCACGGCTGGAAAGGGTCAGCACGGTCTGTGGGCAGCCCTGCCCAGGAAACCAGGGGCTTGGAGCTCAGGGTTGGAGACAGCCACGGCACCCAGGGTGGTTTATCCTGTGGAGCTCAGGGTTGGAGACACAGCCACGGCATCCAGGGTGGTTTATCCTGTGGAATTCCTGGAGCTCAGGGTTAGACACAGCCATGGCACCCAGGGTGGTTTATTCCATGTTCAGGGTTAGACACAGCCATGGCACCCAGGGTGGTTTATTCCATGTTCAGGGTTAGACACAGCCATGGCATCCAGGGTGGTTTATCCTGTGGAGCTCCAGGAATCAGGCCCAGAGAGTGCCCCAGGAGCCACAGCCAGGGACAGGGAGTTAGGAGTGGGGGATGAGGTGTGGTGACAAATCTGCTGGGGGTTTTGGGGAAGCTGTTCTTGCTTCTCCCGCTCTGGTTATTCCCTAATTCCGGTTTTATCTGGGGACAGCAGCTTTGTCACCTGAGCTCAGCGGGCTGTCCCCAGCCCCAGCCTGACCTTGCAGCGCTGCAGGAGCTGCAGATTGCCCATGCTGGGATTTGTCCCAACAGCTCCAGGAAGGGAGGGACTGCAAAGCTGCAGGCAGGGTCCCTGTGTGACTCTGGAATGCTGCAGGCTGAGTCCTTCTGGAATTCTGGAACGCTGCAGTCTGGATGCTTCCAGAATTCCAGAGTGCTGCAGTCTGGATTGCTCCGTGACTCTGGAATGCTGCATCTGGATCCCTCCAGAATGCTGAAGTGCTGCTGCCTGGATCCCTCTGGAATTCCAGAATGCTGCAGACTGGATCCCTCTGGAATTCTGGAATGCTGCAGAGTGGATCCCTCTGGAATTCTGGAAATCCACAGTCTGGATCCCTGCAAAATTCCAGAATGCTGAATTCTTCTGGAATTCCAGAATTCTGCAGTTTGGATCCCTCCAGAATTCTGAAATGCTGCAGTCTGGATCCTTCCAGAATTCCAGAATGCTGCAGTCTGGATCCCTCTGGAATACCAGAATGCTGCAGTCTGTATCCCTCTGAAATTCCAGAATGCTGCAGGCTGGATCCCTCCAGAATTCTGGGATGCTGCAGTCCAGATCCCTCTGTGACTCTGGAATGCTGCTTCTGGATTCCTCYAGAATTCCRGAGTGCTGCAGTTYGGATCCCTCCAGAATTCCGGAATGCCGCAGTCTGGGTCCCCCTGGAATTCTGGAGTGTTGCAGTTTGGATCCCTCCAGAGTTCCAGAATGCATCTGGATCCCCCTGGAATTCCGGAGTGCTGGCCCCCTGCTCCCATCCCTGCCAGCTGTCCCGGGCAGCTTCTCCTCTCTCCAGTTTGTGTCTCCAACTGTGTTTAAGCAGCCCTTTGGATCCTCCAGATCCCAAAATATGATGGGATTTTGGCAGATCCAGGCAGGAATGACCCCGTGTGGGTGCGTTTGGRGACATCCTGTCCCTTCAGTGCCAAACCCCAATACAGGTGACACTGATGTCCCCTGGGCTATGCCTGGCCATGGGACCCCTGCTTTTTGGAGTGTTCTGAGAGGCTGAATGCCCTGTGCTCACCTACGGGTGCTTTTTGGGGTGTTCTGAGAGGAGCTGGGGGTTCTGAGAGGGGCTGACTGCGCTGTACTCACCCACTCGTGCTTTTTATGGGGTTCTGAGGGGCTGAATGCCCTGTGCTCACCCACTGGTGCTTTTTGGGTGGTTCTGAGAGGGGCTGAGCACCCTGTACTCACCCACGGGAGCTTTTCAGAGCAGATTTTCCGTGCTTTCCATGCTTTGCAGCGAGAACAAAACGTATTTTACCTTGCCAGCATCCCAGGGGAAGTGACTGGGATCTCCCTCCTATTTTACCATTCCCTCTTTACTGGTGCAAGAATTGTTTCACCTTTTCCTGGTGGCGGGTGTGGAACTCGGTGAGTTCTGTGCAAGACTCTGCCCTTCTTGTGTGGAGGACGTTTAGGACACCAGGGTGTCACCCATTCTTTTCACAGTGCCACCCACCCTTTTCAGGGTGCCACCTGCCCTCTTCAGGGTGTCACTCCAGCTCTCTCCTGGCAGATTTTGGATTTCCCATTTGGCTGGAGGAAGAGACATGTCCTTAAACTCTTTTTCTTGTGAAGGCAAGAAGCTGAGTTACCCTCTGGCCGCAGGATGCCCAAAGGCCCTGCCTGGCTCAGCTGAGCTTTGGAAAAGCCGTGGAATGGAACCACAGAGTCATTCAGGTTGGGAAGGACCCCAGATCACCAAGCCCTGACTCATGGAGAAATTTCCTTCAAGTGAATCCCACAGTTACCAAGGCCACACGAGACAGGAAAAGGTGAAACTGAGGGAGAGTGGCTGAAGACTTCCCTGGATTTATGTTCTGAGGCTTTTTTTGAGGCTCTCTTTTTCTAGTGGAAGCTCAGGTGCAAAAAGGGACTCTTCCAAATCCATACCTGTCAGTCCGTCATGCTTACCAGAAGTATCGTTAGTGACTGAGAATCCGTGTCCTGCTGGCCAGAGTTCTGTGGRCTCTTGAGGCTGCAGGAGTAGAAGCCGTGGTGTTGGTCACCTCGCTGTGTGCAGATCCCACGGGACAGCGAGGGGCCACACTCCACCACCCCACCCTGACCCATCCTTTCTCTCTTCCCTCCCCCACAGGCAAGAAAAACTCCATCCTGCTGCACAAAGTGCAGCACGACCTCAACTCGGGCGTGTTCAACTACCAGGAGAACGAGATCATCCAGCAGATCGTGCAGCACGACCGGGAGATGGCCCACTGCGCGCACAGCGCTCAGGCCGCGGCCGCCGCCGCCTCCACGCCCACGCCCGTCATCTGGACGCCGCTGATCCAGGCGCCGCTGCAGGCGGCCGCCGCCACCACCTCGGTGGCCATCGCCCTGACGCACCACCCGCGCCTGCCCACGGCCATCTTCCGCCCGCCCGTGTCCGTGCTGGGCTCGCTGGGCCAGCAGCCCGGCCAGACCCCGCGGCAGCTCAAGCGCTTCCAGTCGCTGGCGCCGTCGGCCGGGCCCTCGGCCGTGGGCTCGCCGTCCAGCACCCCGTCCCAGCTGCACACGCCGGGCGCCGAGACGCCCTCGTCCTCCTCCTTCCACATCCAGCAGCTCGCGGGCTTCTCGGCCGCCGCCGGCCTGGGCCACTTCCAGGTGGGCTCGCCTCCGGGCGGCTCGGGCCAGCCGGGGCTGGGCAGCGGCTCCTCGGCGGGGCTGGGCCAGTTCCAGAACGCAGCCTCGGGGTCACCCTTGGGCGCAGCTCAGCCCCCGCAGCMGCAGCAGCAGCAGCMRCAGCAGCAGCAGCCGGTGCTCTCCAGCAGCGGATTCGGGCACTTCCAGCAGGCCGCAAGCAGCTCGCCATCGACATCCCTCACCCAGCTCTCATCAAACTCGCCCCCCAGCCTCCTGAACCAGTTCCAGCCCGCCCCGAGGCCGCTGCAGGGGGGACAGTCGCAGCAGCTCTCGGGCAGCGGGACGCTGGCGGCGATGAACCACTTCCAGCCCCCTCGCTCCTCCAACTCGCCGTCGTCCAGCCTGAGCCAGCTGGCGCAGGCGGCGGGYGGGCCGGCCCCGGGCCCCTGCCCAACGCATCCAAGTGCTTTAGGATCTCTGACGGGAACCGTGGCCCAGCTGCACCACGAGCGGCCGCCCCCGTTCGCCTCGGCCGCCCCGTCCCCGCTGCAGCAGCCCGGCGGCGCCTCGCCGTGCTTGCCCCCGTCCGGCCTTAGCCCGCCCAGCCAGAGCCCGGTGGCCGGCAGGACTTGGCAGAGCGGCCCCTTGGCGGGGCCCGGCGGCTCGCAGGGCTCGCAGGGCTCGCTGCTGCTGCCGCAGCCCGCCAGCCCCCCCGGGCAGCCCCCGCCGCGGGCCACGGGGCCCCCGGGCCGCCTCAACCAGGACATCAAGCTGATCTCGGCGTCGCAGCCCTCGCTGCCGCAGGAGCTGGCGCAGCCGCTGGGCCGCCGCGGCTCCCCCCATTCCTCCGGGGAGTCGGTGTCCGGCTTCTCCCCGTTCCCCGGCGGCGCTGGGCTCCTGGGCAAGCCCTGCAGCTCCATCCCCGGCCGGGTGACTTTGCCACGCCAGATGTCCTCAGGGTCTCTGCCGCCCCCGCTGGTGCTGGGGGCCGCCGCTCTGGCCGCGGGCGGGCGSAAGGAATCCATCGTGCTCACGGGGGACCTGGAGCCCGTGCGCTCCAAGCTGCCCTCCAACTTGTGAGGACTCCCGGGGAGCTGCCTCCTGTGCCAGCCCTGCCATCAGCTCCTGAAGAGTTCACCCAGCAGTTCTTTCCTTCCCTTTTCCCCCGCGCCGCTCCCGCTTTTTCTTTTTTTTTTCTTTTCTCCATTTCTTTTGTTTAGGTTTAACTGTGCTTAGAAACAAAGAAAAAAAAAAACCACATGAAAAACAACGGAAAAAAAAAGATAACCAGGTATTCTTAGAGCTATAGATTTTTGGTCACTTGATTTTATAGAATATTTTAATACATGGAACAAAAGGATACGAGCAAATTTAATCCAACGAGGTAACGCACAGCCGGGGCGCGTGCCTGAGCTGGAACACGTGAATGAGCAGCCATAGAAGCCACCAAAAAAGGTTTTCCTGTTGAGACAAAGACCCCAGGTTGACGTGGGCTGTGGAAGGGGCCGTGGGGACCGGCCTGGAGCTGCCGTTTGAGGAGCAGCCCCGGCTGTGACCCCGGGACTGGGGATGTGTGTGGTCCAGCGCACACCAAAAGGGTCTCTCCCTCCGTCCCAGGTCACCTCCTGTGCTCAGCAGGTGGCACAGGGACTGGGAAGGGGGGGCAGTTCGTCCTTGTGGACCCCTCCTGGGATTCCCCGAGGGCTGAGGTTGGGTTGGACTCCAGCTGAGGAAGATGAAGGGACCAGGGGATGGATGGGCCTCACTGCAGATCGTCCCTTCTTACCCCAGCAGTGCTGCAGCGGGAACAGGGAGCGATCCCTTGTCAGGAACGGGGACGGCAGGGATTGTCCCTCTGTCCTTTGGGATGYGGACAGCGGAAGAAGCCCTGGCTCTGCCAGCACAGCCCTGCCTCGGTGTCCGTGGGTCACTGCTCTGAGGGGAACTGGGAGGGACTGAGCAGGGGGTGCAGTCCCCAGCTCAGCTTGGGGCAGTGTGGGGCACCCAGGGTGGTGTGGGGCACCCACGATAGTTCTGGTGCCATCCCCAGCCCTCCTCC